ATAAGTATTATTCTTCAAGCGTATAAAATTCATCTTCATTAAATACGCAAACAAACAACGCAATGATCTAATTGTGAACTGCCTGTTGTGTGAAGTTATCGCCCGTTTAATTTTAAATTGCTTTCATTTTTTGCATAAATAAACATTTCTGCTAAATCCATTTTAAAGTAAACAGATCAAGAATAAACATTTTATAATTTATTTTAAAATTACGATAAAAAAATTTTTCTTTGTTTTAGAAAAAGTATTTTCCCCTTTATTTTTAATGTAAAAAACTATGAAATGTCTATGTATCAGGCATATATATAATTAATTTTACAAGGTCAAAGTGTTACTGAGACAGACGGACAAGAAATAAATAAAGAGAGAGGGAGAGAGTGGGGAGGGATTCAGAGAGAGAGAGAGAGAGAGAGAGAGAGAGAGAGAGAGAGAGAGAGAGAGAGAGAGAGAGAGAGAGAGAGAGACTGAGTGGGGAGAGAGAGAGTAAGTGGTGAGAGGGAATGGGGAAGAGAGAGGGTTTGAGGGAGAGAGAGTAAGTGGGGAGAGAGACAAAGAGTGAGTGAGGGGAGAGAGGGAGTGAGTGGGGAGAGAGAGGGAGTGAGTGGGGAGAGAGGAAGTGGGTAGAGTGGGGGAGAGAGGGAGTGGGGAGAGAGAGTGGAGAGAGAGAGAATGAGGGAGTGGGGAGAGAGTGCATGGGGAGAGAGAAAGAGAGTGAGTGGGAAGAGAGAGTCAGAGATTGAGTGAGGGTGAGTGGGGAGAGAGAGTGAGAGCGAGTGGGGAGAGAGTGAATGGGGAGAGAGGGACAGAGTGAGTGGGGGAGAGACAGAGAGAGGAGTGGGGAGAGAGAGAGTGGTGATAGAGAGTGGGAACGGGGAGAGAGAGTTAGTGGGGAGAGATGGAGAGGGGTGAGTAGGTGGGGAGAGAGAGCGAGTGGGGGAGAGAGTGGCGGGAGAGAGAGTTAGTGGGGAAATAGAGAGTGTGGCGAGAGAGATAGAGAGCGTAAGTGGGGAGTAGAGAGAGGGGAGTTGTGAGTGAATGAGTGGGTGGAGAGAGAAAGTGAAGAGGGATAGAGAGTGAAAGAGTGAGGAGGGGAGAGTAATTGCAGGTCGAGGGGAGAGAGAGGGGTGAGAGAGAGAGTAGTGTTTCAGATTTATGTTAAAGTTATGTCAATAGTTTGTGCATATACAAATGAGCTAACTTTTACATTTTTGATGTTGTAAATTTTGCTTTTCTGGTATGGGTACTTCAAAATTTACTTTCATTTGACCCGCTTGATATCATACTTGTATATTTCTTCTACTTGTATAAAACAAGATATTTAACTTGAATGTGTCGCATGTTAACTTGAATCTGTTCTACCAATCAGTTCTCTACATGTTTTCCAATATCTATATACTAGTATAAAGCCGCGCAATTCTCAAGTTCGCATTTTATTTAACGATATTTAACGATTAGGGGGTTCCAGTAAAAGCTCTTCCAAACCTCTTTCTTTACTTTTCACTAAAATATAAACAGCAGTAAAGGAGAAACTCCAGGAGTACTGTGCAACAATATATTTGAGAAGTTGTGTAAATCAGATGTGGATACTTAAAAATTGCAAGGAACTTTTGGAAAAATTTAAAATCAAAATTTTTTTTCAAAATAACATAATAACGTACGAGTTTTCAACTCTATATACAACCATTCCCAGCGATAAATTAAAGTCCATGCTTTTTGACATTATTTACAGCTGCTTGTTCAATAAAAATGGAACTCGAAAATTTATTTACCTTGTCATTGATCATTAACGAAATTATTTTGTTAAAAACATTCTGATTGTAAACACAAGTACTCTGAAGTTGATATTAAAAAAATACTTGAGTTTCTGATTGACTATATCTATGTGGTTTTTGGAGACCAGGTCTTCCAACAATCTGTCGGAATTCCCATGGGTACCAATTGCGCCCCGTTATTAGCAGACATTTATTTCTATTCATATGAAGCAGAATTTATTAAAAATCTTATACATGAGAAGAAAACACTTGCTGTGGCCTTTAACTTTTCAATCGTCGACTTCCCTTACTTATGCAGCAATATACTCTTGTCAGCTGCATACGAGGTTTATATCTCTCAGTTGATTCGTTACGCAAGAGCATGCGCTACGTATGAACAATTTCTAAAACGGGGTAAGTTATTGACAAAACAAGTTGATGAAACAAGAATATCAACAGTCTCGTTAAAAGTCATCATTTCGTAAGTTCTACAGTCGATACAATGACCTTGTCAGCAAAAAAAATCTATCATTTAGTCAAATGCTGACTGACATTTTTCATACTAATTGTTATTCCATTATTTACACACTGATTTGTCGATTGAATTTTCTGTTATTTCCCTGTGTGTGTATGTGACCGGTCAGCAGGGCCGGGTGCTCACTTCATGCCACCTGATCCCACCTCTGAAGTTTAAGAGGTCCTTGTTTGCTCTGCTCCTGATTTTTATTGTTTGAATGGACTTATGAGCTTGAATAACGTTCTTTATCACCATTTTTCATGATATGAATTATTTCCCGCTTATGCATGGCATGCGGGGATTTAGATGGGCTTCGGTTTTTAAGGTCCCAGCCGAAAGACCATTGACATTCAATGCTTTCTACATGTATTTAAAATATCTCGGTTTGGCACGGAACCAGAAAGATTGGACAATCAAACGCTGAGCTCCCACATACGAAGCTCCCGCGTACGAAGCTATCTCCCATAGACACTAGGCTGCTGTGATCAGTGCCGCAGTTATTAAGAACTAATTGAAGTGCAATGATATCAAATTTTTAAAAACAGCCATCCAATAAATGCGGGTTCGTGGCAATGTTTTAGGGGGGGGGGGGGGGGGAGGCTATTGATATTTGGAAAAACAAGAAGATAGAATACAGCTACAAAATAAAACATTAAAAAATATGGTTCTGAAACTCCTCCATACTTTCTCATAATCAAAATTTGACAAACGTCTAGACTTAACATTTGTAGACTTGTAAATTGTCTTTGTGTTCTCGGCAATATAGACAGCAGAAAACATGTAGAGGAATGAAAGGATAACTTACAACACATGCAAGTTTAATGTCTTGTGTACTACAAGTAGACGAAGTGTACAAGTATGACATCAAGCGGGGCGAAATTACAGTAAATTCTGAAGTTGTGTGTTAGGAACGACATGCTAAAATTAATCGAAATTACCTACTTACATGTGAGGACTATGAACCTGCTACGATTGTAATTTCGGATTTACAAACTTACAAGACTGGATATTTGAACACAATTACCCTCCATACTTTAGCACCCTTTTCTCGTGACGGCTGCCTTTTTACTTCTTTTGTTCAGAAGAGGATCGAGCGTGGGAGGGGGATCTGTAGTAAATGAAATAGTACCCTCCAAGGTAATACGGATCCCTTGTTAGATTTTAAGTTAATGCTATGGAGGTAATCGGCTTGTCCTTCAGAAGTTTCATTACCCCGTAATATCCGTTTTTGTTTCTTTTTGTTGTTTAGTTTGTGTGTGTTTGTGGTTGTGTTTTGTTTTGTCCTTTTTTGCAAACCTTTCCAGTAAAGAAACTAAAATATATACCGGTGTATTGCGATTTTGACAAACTAGAATGTTCCAAGGAACTCATGTGTCGCCTGCTTTGTAGTTTCCTTAAAGATGTAAATAAATCTTAAAGTGGTCAGCAATATTTTACTATTAGCATGATAGTTTATGCATTCGCTTGCAAAGAAAAAAATGGCATTTATGGATTAGTATAAGACTGCCATAGAATCTGACAAGAAAATGTTGTTCCCTAACCCTCAAATGAATAATTAAATAGAAATTATTAGAAATGACTACTAGCATCTATCATTTATTAATACGTGTTTCTAACCATCCTCCAAAGAGATTTCTGTCTGTATTTGCTGTAATATTGTCAGTCTACATGATCCACGTGGAATATCAATCCCAATGTATTTTTACAGTATTTAAATACAAGTTTATATGGTAAGCTAATACGATACAGTTTCAAAGCACTGTATCATAAGCTCAACGTGTTTTCAACAATTCTCCAAAAGAGATCAGTTTGTCTTTACTGCAATTGTCATTCTACATGATCCATATGAGTGGATTGTTATGCTGGTATTTTGCATAATATCTTATGACAGACAGCTCACAAACTAAATAACATAGACTTACCTCTTAAATGTGAAAAATATTCCGTATATCGGCACTATGATCTATTTTTGAAAAGTAGGTCAAAGGTCAAGGGTCACGAGGTCAGTAACCATGGTACTTTACAAAAGTTATAGTATCAAGCAATGTATACTGTATATGTGCAAAATATAAAAACCGTACCTCTTACAGTTCTCGAGATAAAGGGTGTGACAGACGGACAGACAGACCGGGTAAATTGATCCCTAAGTGCAGCTCTGCTCTGCAGGCGACACAAAAATATTGTATTGTGATACTTTTCTTAAGACCGATAATACCACCAAAATGCTTGGACATCTGATTTCTTAAAAAGATTTGAAATTTACGATGCCAGAAGTTAACGTTTTCAATCGTTCCAAACAGTAAGGTTGCTGTTGTATGGTTGCATTTCGTTGCAAAACTTTAATCAAATCTTGTTACAACGTATTTATAATAGCTTTATACGCTCTGTTTATAAATGAAGGTTAATAAAACTGGAAAAAGGATCATTTTAACTGGTTTTGAAAATCCGGATTTCTTTGTTCACAACTGTTTATAAACTTCATATTAAACATGTAATACTGTAAATAATTAGACTTTGATCTTGGAGTTAGACCTAAATTTGTAATGCTTAAACGTGGTGAAAACTTTGAGGTGTTGGTGCTAGGGCTTTCATATATTACATGCGTATTCCTTGTGTCCTAGCTTGTGGCAAGAAATATCCTTGCAAACCAACATTTTTTACCTCATGGCCTTGAACTTGGAGTTTGGAATTTTTTGGGGAAATGGTAGTTAAAGAACAAGAAACACAAAAAATATTTTGTCACAATCACGCTTTAAGTTCTAAATCTCCTACAACATTCAGCAAATGGACACACCTGGAAACCACTGACACTCGCCAGATCCACAACGTGATTGTCCTCTACAGCGAGTTCGTGCGCAGTATCCATTTTGGAATGTACAGTCCCATTCTCGCTCTGTGATCACACATTTTTCTCTGGCAGGGATGCTACTGTCAGGAATTGATTGTTGTGGAAGGTTGATCTCGACCTGAAATTGTTTAAAAGATTTGGGCTCACCGTAAGATACTAAAATACTCTGTAGAATGAAAATTGGCAGAGAGATAGAATAAAGGATTTCAGAAAATATCAACACTGCCTTTCTATATATTACTTTTGAAAAAAACATGTTCTATTAGACGCGGGGGGGGGATACTATTTTCAAGACACAAATATATCAATATACCACGGCTACATGTTTATTTTTTAAGTATTAAGTATTTGTAATACTCTAGTTGTCTTAGTCAATTTATACATAAATGTATTAAAAGTTCTTCTTACTTTACAATAGCAGTCGTAACTCTTTATCCTGTTTATAATGGTCTGGTTGAATTCGTGTGGCTCAGTAATTTGTAGTTTGTTGGTTAACTCGTCGTCAATGGAAACTATACAAAATAATCATTTTAAATAATCAAAGTTCCGCCTTGAAAAATGGCACGTAAAATTTATGAATTATATATATTCTAATTCTTAGCCCTATACTAATTAAAGCCTAGCTGAATTTATTCATAATGTGTCCCGTCATCCGTCCGTCTAGCTGTTTGTTTGTTTGTCTGTTTGTTAATTAATTTTCAAAATGCTACTCCTCCTACAGTTTTGGTCCATTTTCAATAAAGCTGCACAAGTAAACGTCACGAAGATACAAAATTCTATATATTTATTTTTCGACGAACGGTGTTGCCATTGTATTTAAAAAGAACTTTTTGTGAAAGGCAATTAACCTCTACTCCTTCTAATGCCGTCACGGTAGCTCAGTCGGTAGAGCGCTCGCTCCGTGATCGGAAGTTCGTGTGTTCGAATCACGGCCGCGACTGACCGAAGTCGATAAAAAATAGGTAGCAACTATTCCTTCGCCAAGCGCTCGGCACTTTAAAGTGAAAGTTGCGGGTCTTTTGGATGAGACCTTAAAAACCGAGGACCCGTGTCACGGTGGGCGTTGGCATGAAAAAGAACCTTCACTGCTCGATGGCCCTAAGTGCCGAGTAAAGGTCTAATTTTGAAGCCCTTCACCAGTATATGGTGATGTCTCTATATAAGTGAAAAATTCTTGAACGGGACGTAAAACAACATACAATCAATCAATCCTAGAGTTCTGTTACTACTATCATTATACGTGGTACACAGGTAACCAGTTGCATCGCTTTTCAAGTTTGATAATTAATAAAAACAGTACTATCTCATATATAATACAAAGTCATTGTTGCAGTCTTTGAAAAGTAACTGTTTTGTGAGTTGAACTCTAGTCATCACGTGACCAGAAACCGTTGTCGCTGTCAATCGAAAGCGTGAAAACTCTAACCGGCTTTGTGGGCTTATGTAGATAAATGTTTTTCGTGAAAACTGTCATAAGATTGCATTTTTGCATTCATCTAAGATACATTACTACGCATTGCCGTTACAAGATCAATAAAGAACCCCCAATTACTTTTTTAGTACTAAAATTTATGAAATTTATCTACCATGTATCAGATTGCGTGAAATTCGTTATCTTGACAAAAAGCTCATGCGCAAATAATTTTGAGGCGTAAATAATTGTGAAATCCAGATATTATTTTAACCACATAGGACACAAACCAAAGCCAAATAAAAATCTTCAAATCACAAGACACCACTGCTGCATAACACTTGTTCACCATACCACTGAAGATCACTTGATATTTCTAATGTTCATTCTAGAGCAATTGATTTTCAATTGTGTGCATGTATACTTTAATTCCTTTGGTACAAAGCAAAATTTCAAGCATGAAATCAGAAAGAGAGAGAAACACACATATACACACACACAGAGAGAGAGAATTCAATTCGCCTCAAAATTTCACAATAGACATTAACTTCCATTTTGTTATTCAGTCGATTTTGATGCCATTTATTTCTGAAAATAACATTTCTAACTAAGTGTAACGTAAAGTGTATTATGAAATTTATTTTGTTTACCTTTCCTGGCAATATACTACGTGAATTTGTAAAATTTGAAATTCATTAACAGTAAATCTCTATAACATTTAACGAAATCGAGCTTATTTTGAAGGGCTTAATATCAGGTAAATTTTGTAGTCTTTGAACAGTACTTTGTGTGTTTTTCAAGATGAAGTCTCGCCATCTCGTCACCGACTCCTTGCATTTACATTAGCTTTATTTCAATGAACGTTGTACTTACGTCGTTCAAAGGGAGATCATTTGAGTACATCCACAGTTACCTTATGCAAATTTCACAAGATAACTGCTAAGCATTTGAGAGATAAGTATAAATTGGAGATTTCTGGAGGGTGGTGGTGGGCTAATATTTCTGCTTGTTTCAGGCAATAAGACACGTGAACCAACTTGCTTCATGATTCTGCACATGCTACTGCAAATGCAACCTGTGAACCTTATGCTTGATCAAATAAATCGCTCGTATTCTAAGGGAATACATATTGATATAGTGTTTTAGTAAATAAATTTTACCTCAAATATGTGACTCTTAATATATTTTCTGTTCTTGAAACTCATGTCTTGTCTCACAGGCGCTTGACGTTTTTAACCTTTCTTTCCATAAATAAAAAATCCCCCATACTATAATAATAACAAGGTTCGTCACGGTCGCCATCTTGAATTTTTCAGTTCAGCTACTTCGCCTCGATTTTTAGTCTACAATGTGTTTAAAATTAACGGATACAACCGTTTCCCTCAAGTACTTACTTTAACTATGCCTCCACTTTCGGGCAATTCAACTCAAATCACATTAAATCCTCTCTAATTCTTAAAATGTCGCTTCGAACTCAGTCTACTGCTACCGATTCCGTAAAACTTAGAAAAGGAAGGCCGGAAGTTGATGTTAGAACGTCACAATCCGGGAAAGCCCTTTTCTGATTGGTGGATATCTTGAGAGTTATATTAATATTAAGAGCTGTTTAAAAATGGAGCTTGAGCAGTTCTAGACTACTGGTACGTATTTTATAAATAACTTAGTAATATATATTGATACATCTATAGTCCCCAACTGTTTGCAAATAAATATATATTTAGCCTAAACTGTGTACTTTTTCAACTGCTATTTAAGAAACACTGAAATATTTAGGCTGAATAGTATACACTGTATTTTACATACAGAGGCGTAGTTACACACCTGAAAGTAAAGGGACGCTTAAATCCAAATAAAAATTCAATTATATTGTCAAAACATAAAAAGCGTTTACAATTTAATTCTGAAATTTGGGGGGGGGGGGGGTCTGGCAGATTTTGAAAATAAATTTAATTGTCCTTCACTGACATGGAAATAAAGCTGGGAAAAAATTGCCAGCTCAGTCCCCCTCTCCGAAATCAATTGGTCCTCCCTTAAAAATAAAGGAATGGCAATATAATCTGTGAGGCCACCCGAAGGTCTTAGGTGAAGCCTTGATTGGGGCGGGGGGGGGGGGGGATGCTCCTGGCTTGTACAAATATTTCAATCACATTCATGCAGGGAATAGCATGGTATTTAGCATTTCTTATGAAAGACAAGACAGTAATATTGTTTTTAACACGAAGTTTAACTTTCTCGGAAACTTATTGTAAATGTTCTTGAGGCATGCAGAATCTTTTACCGCTACATTTGTATCGTCTGCTCTCTGTTATAATATGTATTAATATTGTTCTGCAACAAATATTTTAAATGTTGGTAGCAAAAATAATTCTTAAATCATATACTACAGTGGCGGATCCAGGAATCTTGAAAGGGGGGGGGGCAGTCTGGGGTCAGGGTAGGGGCTCACAGCCATACACACACACAAAAATTGCTTTATTATAAAGCTTATGTATATTTTGGACACAAAGGGAGGGGCGGGTCCCTTGCCCCCCTCTAAATCCGCCAGTATACTATTTGATCAAGCCATTTGACGATAATTAAACTTAATTTCTCAAAGGTCTTATAGAATTATTAATGTGTTATAGAACACTTACTATAGATTAATGATTTATTTGGATTTGGCAATGATTCAATAAAAGATTTCAAATAGACGTAATAATATATAATTTGATTCGAAATAATGACAATTAATAATTTGAAACAAAAATATTTGCCGGATGATGCTAATATTTTTTTTCTCTCAACAATCTCTCTCTCTCTCTCAGACTTAGATTTTTTCTTAAACGATGTGTAGTAACGCACTTGCGTACTTGCAAAGACAGCTTCGCGCCTGTAGAAAGAGGGGACATGGAGGTTCAGTGATCTGGGCCAGCTCACCACTGTGATGAAAAATAAAACATACACATATCTATCCTTCTTTTTTATACTTTTCATCTCTTCAAAACACTGAAAATAGTACCATTATAGGGTAGAAATATTTATGCCAGAATGCAAGGGGTCTGGTTTACACGAGAAATTAGTATTCAGAATTCCAGGACCAAACATAATTTTTATTTCCTCATGATTTTTTCTTCAACAAAATAAAAGAAAAAAGATATTGAACATGTTATTTCTGATGACTATGGAAAGCATCGGCCTGCTCAGCATTCAACATGTCGAAAAAGTTTGATACTGTTTTTGCATGATTTTTCCCGCGAAACGTCATATTTCTTTTAACCAATGAAATTTAAGTAGAGGGAATTCCCATTTACATAATAACATCAACTTCCGGCCTCCCTTTTCTAAGTTTTACGGAATCGGTAGCAGTAGACTGAGTTCGAAGCGACATTTTAAGAATTAGAGAGGATTTAATGTGATTTGAGTTGAATTGCCCGAAAGTGGAGGCATAGTTAAAGTAAGTACTTGAGGGAAACGGTTGTATCCGTTAATTTTAAACACATTGTAGACTAAAAATCGAGGCGAAGTAGCTGAACTGAAAAATTCAAGATGGCGACCGTGATAATTTGTCATGTTTTGAAAGTACTAAAAATAGACTTGCCATATAAGATGTATTCCTTGTTGAGTCTTAGCCATGTAGGTCCGCAAGAATTCATCCTCCCTCTACCATAGACTGTTATTATTCCTCCCTTGTAAGCTACTTGGCCCTTGGAAAAGCATGTCAGAAATGTTTATTAAACAGCAGTACACTAGGAATATTTCGAACCGTTAAAAAATGTGTGGAAAATACCTAGAAATAGGATATTCTCTAAAGCTTGCTTCATACTATGTGCTTTGTCTTTGTATGTTTTATTTTTCTCTTGGTTTTTATTTTTATTTCAGGAAAATAAAAAAAAAATAATGAAGCAATAGCTGTAAAAGTAAGGGCAACTATTTTTTCTCAAAATCTCTCAATTCCAAAAAAAAAAAAAAAGACCAATGAAAAAATTCACTATGTACAAATACAGGAAAAACTACCATAAATTACAGCTTTTGGTATGAAAAAATATACAAGGGAACAATTATTGGCTAACAAACCAAGAAATATTCAAATAAAAATTACGCATGGGGAGGGGGAGGGGGGTAGAAAGTGTTTGAAATAATAAAATACTGTTTTCATTTTAAAATTACATAATGTAGAGAAATTTGCTTGAGACTTTTTTTTAATTTCCCTAACACCCCCCCCCCCCCCTCAATATGGGATATGTTAGTACTATGCAATTTTAACATTTGAACAAATAATAAAAATGAAAAACAAAAAGATCTACATTTTTACAGTTGTTTAGGTTAGAAAACATAGAATGTTATATGTTTATATAGGAAGATCAGGTATGATTTTTTGTTAACAAAATGCTGTTAAATTTAAAAGTTAATATATATCAGAAGTTTTCATCAAATCATAAAAATTAAATTTTAAGGGGAAAAATAAAGTTAATGCCCCTTAAGCAATTCGAATATTACCTTAAACATTGACTCTCGTAAAATCTCAAAATGAAAAAATGAAATGCAATTCCTTGAATTTGTACAAAAATGAATCTCTCTTGAGAGTAAAATACTTATATTGAATTTATATTGTATATTTTTTTTCAAATTATTAATTCATAGTAATTAAAACATTTTATGAAGTTATAATTGTATGGATTTTGGAAGGTTATTTGTTACTATTGATATCATTTCTTCGTATTGCAGAACCGGTATCTCCCTTCTCCTGTATCCTTTTCTTTCAATTATCACCATTTCTTATTTTCATCTTTCATATATTTGTCTTAATTTATATTTTTTTCTATATTTTCATTTATTCAAATCATTATGTGTATGATCAAATGAAATTTATAATCTGAAACACTGTGTGGTTTCAAGTGGTTTCAAGTTATTGTAAATGTCTTGCAAATTTCTATAGTCATCAAACCATTTTTTTCCCACTGATGAAAGCAATAACAAATCATTTATTTAAGCACCACAGGACTTATCAAGCCTACCTTAATATTTGATGTTACTTGAACTTGAAAAATGGACTCCTTGTCTGTTTCTTGTGAATCTTGAACGATGCCGCTGAACGCTGTTAATAAATTCAAAATTCAAATAAAACTACAATACAAGTTTTAAAATAATTTTGGTAAATAATTTTGAACATTTTTTGTTTGTCTTTATGTTCCTATAACTGTCATTGAACCTACCATAATCAGCGTTGCAGTAGGAGCTCTGGTCATGGTATACAAATGGTTCACATCCATAAACAAACTTAATTAAACTAATTAATAACAACACTCTGGTTCCTTGCATGGTTGTGATAAGTGTTTATAAATTGAAATTCAATTGTTTTAACTTGCATTTATATACAAAAGACCACAAACACTATCGATTTTCAGAAATTTACATACTGAACACGAAATGAATCATTTGCGACACATGTTACGCAACTAGACAAGTGATTATTTTCACGTCGTAATTACGAAATGTAAAATTATATGGTGGAGCATTGCATTAATTAAAATACAAAAATAGCAGATTGTTTATATTGTACGGATATACATAACATTTGCCTCATTGAGTACAAAGTCATAATGCGCTGACCCCAGGATAATGAAGTCAGAATTTGTGCATTACCTTGGAGTTCTATTACAGAAAACACATAAAATATGAAATGTAAAAAAAAAGTTTCCCTTTCATGTTTTCAAGTGTCAGTTTAAAATAAATATTTTTTTGAATGATTGAAATTATGACTTAAGATGAAGATTGCTTCATGATCCACGGGCTTGAATTGTTGAAGTTAAATCTGTACGGATACAGAATTTACCAGGGAAATCGAATATATCATTTCTTTTTCCACAAAACATTGTCCACAAAGTACGATTTCTAATTCGGGGTGAAGTGTAAATTCGCCCTCTAGACATGCATATGAAAGCAGAGTATGTTTTGTTATAGATGCGGATAAAAGTTTACGGGTTTTTTTCGTTATAGAAAATTGATAGTATTGGTTTATAAAACTTATCTTTACAAAGAACACTTGCTTACTGCATGATAAAAAGCGCATTCTGGTATGACGCCAACAAACATATTTGACAGAAACATTATAGTTGAATAAAATTTATAATTAATATATCATATCATTGAAAATCGAAAGGTGCAAAAAACTAAGTGAAAACTCCCGAAACTTCACAATAATCTGAAACAAAATAGATCCTGAAGTCGTATACATATATGCAATATATGTTTGTTCTTTACAACACTTTAATGTGGCATCTAACTAATCAAAAAGTGTTGTTTTTTTTCTCAGAAGCTGATATTACATTTTTATCAATTCTTCAACGGGTTGAAATATAAAATACCTTATCAATCATTGATTGATTGTATGTTGTTTTACGTCCCATTCGAGAATTTTTCACTCATATAGAGACGTCACCATAAACCGGTGACCTATACTCGGAACTCAAGGTCATTGAACAGTGATGATTCTTTCTGGTGCCAACGCCTACCGTGACACGTGCCCTGGGTTTTCAAGGTCTCATCCACATGACCCGTGACTTGCACTTCCAAGGCCGGGCGCTTGGCGAAGGAACAGTCACTACCTATGTTTACCTCTTAGATTTAAAGTGGCGTGGCGAACGAGAATCGAACCCGGGCCTCGATCTCGATCAAGAAGCGAATGCCCTACCACTAGGCTACCGTTACCGGTCTCATAGCATGTCTAGAAGCAAGAACTGAAAATTGAAGATTGAAGAAAATGCGTGCCTCTTAAAAAACCTTCAGAGTGGGGGTTAATGATGCATGTAATTGAGGGATAACTGTCTATGATGTGATCAAACAGTTTGCTCACCGAAGGTGTTTATGCAAAAAATAATCATGTGGGCAAACGCAGCGAGAAGACAGCTGCGTCAAGTGAGTATCATATGGCTTTATGAAGATATAAGAGTTATTTCTTTATTTGTAGTTTTATCTCGGATACAGATATTTTATACTATAAATATTGAAATATAATTACAACACAAGCTCAGTAAAAATGGATCGGGAACTCACTGGTAAAATCTGCTGAAATGATAAACAGATACTTAGTTATCTTAAGCATTTTTTGAACATTTATATCCTTTTTGTGGCACATGTCTTCCATAGTTGATAACAACTATATAGGATTGTTCACTCAGTGTTTTGTTGTTTTGAAAAAAAATGTTAAATTACGCACCTGGTATGAAATTGTTCAGGGGGAATCTAGAGACCGTTACTCAATTAATTTGTGTCGATTACATTTACAAATGTTTTCTAATTAGGGCTTGATTCATGATAATTTGAACTAAAATTCAAAATGAAATAGCATATGCTAGATATTGTAAAACGTGTTTAGGGCTCAAAAAACTCGCATGCAACATTTGGTCATTGTCTGAACTTTGTAGTAAATAGTAAAAAATAACGTTAAGCCCAAATCTATGAAAATACTTCCCTAATTCATAGAAAACTCTAAATAATGTTCATACAGTAAAAAAAAAACAGCATAAATATTAGTATGGAAGAGTATCTTTTGCACAAAAATAGTTTCAAAAACAGACGATTTTTAGGTAAAGTTCGTACAAGTGACGAGTGCCTGTTGATAGAAACTAATAGACATAACAAAACACCTCGACAACAAAGACAATCCACTATCTACATATATAGTGCTATTTTAAATTATTAATATATAATTCCACTTCTTTTTACAATGAAATTTGAACATGCAACTGAGGAATACATGGATACTTTTCAAAAAGTGTTAGACGGTTCTTCATTTTATCTCAATTAACACATAGAAAATCTTGAATATTTACAGAGTCCAAAACACGATGAAATGTTGGTTTGTTCAATTTCAATAAACAATCACTAGAATTGAAATAGATAATTTCCACGTTGGTATGACATGTGCTTGATGAATCTAAGCCTTTTAATTTAAATTTTTGTTTTCCGTCTTCTGTATTTGAATTGCTTGACCCATATTGATGTAATATGCAATAAAGATTACTTCATGTAGTATCCTTACTTGTAGTACGTCTATATTATACGTTGTATTTGAATAATCCAGATTTAAAATGCAACTAGATTTGAAAGAAATAGCTATGTACAAACGACCATCAGGAATGACATTTGCATCTTGGCAAACTTGGACGATGTTTCGAAGACTTTAGAATTACAACTTACATTTGTACATAGTGGCATGTCGGAGAGATGTTCAAAACTGTGTTCTTTTTTATAAGTAGTTTTCAAATGTGCCAAATGTGCCAATTCTCATTCCAAAAAATTGTTATGTTTATATGTTTTTTCAGCCCCTTCTAGAAATTTTTACTCATGTTGGAACGCCATTAATTGCTGGTGAAGGGATGAAAATTTTGACCTGTTATCAACACGTACGGCAATTTATCTTTTTTTTGCCAGCATTTATATATGTACTTCGACACGGGACCTGAGTTTATACGGTCTCAACCGAAGAACTGTTCTCTGTGCCCTCAGTAGGATTTGAACCTGCGACATAAGTTTTTGTAACTCTATAACGAACCCACTGCGCCACCATTTTCGATAGCCAAGGGTCTCTGATCCCCTACTCTCCTCATAAGCCCTAGGTATCGAGCGATGTTTATTTGTTATTTAGGATGTAAATCTAAATCTGCAATATGGATTCCTTTTTGCACATAAACTTAAAGTTGGATGACGCCATAGCTTTTTTTTTTATAGAGTGGCAATTTTATCAGATATTCTCAATTACTATAGCACTCACTGACTGATTGAAAGGTATCAATAAACTCCGATCACAACTCGAGAAAAGAATCCCGACTTTTGATAGCACGATAGGTCAAGGGAGCGGATCAGAAACCCTTGGCTAGGACAAGTGGGCGGCTAGAAATGTTAAAGAAATGGTTTTTATTGATAATTGTAGATGTTATCTGCGAAGGCAACTTTATTCATCAAAATGAACGAGAGGCCAATGGGCTTAAACGCTTACCTGAGTATTATATTGATTACGTTTCCTCAGTGAAATTTCCTACACTTACATGTTAGTCTTCACTATATGTTATAAGGCTCTCTTATTCTGTCTTATAGTCAAACCTGAAGTTATCAAGGTATCCTAGAATTAGATGCTTGTAAGCACATATTTTGTCAAAGAGTGTACTTTCTTTTCAAGTGTGATTTAATTTTTTTGTTAATAATTTATGTCCACAAGTATACAAAAGTGGTCAGTGTCCAGTTCTTGTTCAGGCCAACTCCTGGAGCATGATTAACATCCAGCTCTCAAGTTTTCTAAAGGGGCACTCTCAGTCAAGCTCTCTATATGAGACAAACCCAATGACTCTACTTACATATTATCAGTTAATTGCAATCTGAGAAAGACTCCAAATCATGACCAAAGCAATCCTTTCCCATGCCGCACTCTGAAGATTTTATTCATCACAGATTTGTAAAAACTTTTTTTTCCACAGTGTAGTACAATGTTTGTAGATTCTCCGTTTCCTTGGTGTTTAAAAACATAGTTTGTCAGATCTCATGGATTTCCGATATCCTCTTTTGCTCGCTTAGCGTGATATGGTTTGATTTGGTTATGATTTTAAAATTGGTGCGTCTATGTCCAGATCGTCTGCTGGTGATCACTGTCTGATTTCTTTATTGATATTAAAGGATCTTTTTTGTCTTAAAGGATTCCTCTATCCGTTCCTTTGCTCTTCTTACACGTTGGAGCATTATTTCTTTCTTCTTTACCGGTCGCTCTGGCTTGCTGTTTGATGAACCTTGTTAATGTATATTATAGACTTATATGCAATCACCCAATCTCCCTGCATCTACCGTTCTTCAAACAATCCTTTCACCTCTCTATTTTATCATTCCTTTTCCTCTTCGGTTGCAACTGAGGTTGGCTGCTTCATTTTTCTCGCTTTCAGCTGCATGTTGTCTTAAATTGCTAAGTGTTTCTGGCAGAGATTTATACTTTGTGTTGACATCTGCCATTGAATGTCTCTTTCGTTTCTTTCAGATGCTGTCTTTATCTTCCGACTTTATTTTCTGGAGCCTTTTGAACATGTTGCTTTCTACTCCGTGGTCTTTCAATTCTAACAAATTTCTCAGACAATAAAATCATAGTTGTCACAATGAAATTTTGCTTCTGTCTAGTTCATGGGTGATCTAGTGTGTTCATTTCCTTTCCTTTGCATTATCACGACCTCGAAATATCTGATTAATTGTCGTCCTAGGGATGTCTTTAAAACCAGGTGGTAGGTAGTCTTCTAATGGTGTTCAGCCACAGTGCTTGTATTGCTCGATTTGGCATCACAGTCCATCAAGAGGTCCCAAAAAGCTTAAGACCCAGGGCTCTCCTGAGCGTCAGAAGTTTAGACATCATATGCCATGTTTAGACTATTTCCAAACTTTTGAGAATAATTCTAACAATTCTTGTCTAACAACAAATTTGTCATTAATACTGCTGGAGAAAACCCATACCACCAATGAAACGTTAGTTAAGAGCCAATAGGTCTTGCAGGTTGCTATATAAAAACTTGTCCATTTTGCTTATTTTGTGCTGTCCCATCAACATACTTTTTAGGGGTGTCATCTTTTATCTTAGCGTAAAATTTCTGCATAGTATACAATTCTATGCGACAATGATGTCCATTTAGAAAGTTCAGTGAAATACTTCTTTTCTCAAGAATAAATAAAAACTCTTCAATTTACGAAAATTCGAGAGAAAAAAAATAGCAATTGATTTAACCTGCAGTTGCTGATCAAAATTATTTCTGTATGATTAGAAACTTGTTTAATTTTTTTCTCTTATATACGGAACACTTACTTCGGCAAATTCCTTGCATGAACATGATGAAGCATGCATGCAGAAATTTGTCTCGTCTTGTTTGACTGATATACATGTAAGCACTATAGTATAGAGCAATATGTAGTTGTATATACAACTGTTCCATTATACATGCAATCCCAGTGTGAACGACAATCAATCTGATTAAAATACAGATCTCTTCATAGCGCTTTGCGCTGTGAAGAGATCTGTATTTTAATCAGATTGAACGACAATGAAACAGTTTTCACGTTAGGCATGGAAAAACACCATAACACGTTCCATTTTTGTAGCTTTGTTTTCCCTAGGAAAAAAAACCTGCCCCAAGCCTGAAAAACTATCTCTTGAAGGGAGAAGGGGTCGGAGAAGACACTTTCCTAAGCTAAGTCAACTTGCTTCAAATACATGACTCTCCTTATCGTTTTAAGAGGGGTCCATGTTTCCTAAGCTGGGGGGTGTCCAAGGTCATTTTTTCGTTACTTTTACATTTAGAAATTTAATAAATCTAAAAATTCCATGGGGCAACCCTCCCTCTAGATGCTTCCTGGAGAGAGAGAGAAAAATAATTTGTTAAGGTTTTACAGGTTATTATTATTCTTTGCTTAATACAAATGTAATACTGTATTATCACAACTTTATAACATTTATACACAGAAACTTGGTATGGTATGGCTCTTCTGTACATGATGGATATAAAGCATATATTTATACAACACAAAAAATTGTATTGTTTGACGCGTATATACATGATATATAGCACATAGATTATAAACAATTATGAATTGAATAGATGAATGAACAGAGAGGAAACACGAAAAATGGATTCACAACATAAATTTTCATCTCTCTGCTTTAAGCTAGTTAAGTTAAATGTAAAAATTTTCCAAAATTACCAAGCTCATAACAGTTTCGGACACTTATTAAATGCGGATGTTTTTTTTTTCAGTGATAACTTTTAATATATTTACCTCTCAATTATTTGTATAGGGGACAGATTAAAACATGCAGAAAATGAAATTCATTTGCTATGTTGGTTTTACGAAAATTCACAGAATCTTTGTTCCTTGGAAGAAGATTAGACCCTGTTATATTTTAAACTGTGAACGAAAGATAACTCCTGAATGCAACCCGTTTTCCAAGCATGCAGGTGACTGCTGCTCAAAGTTAAATAATTAAACTTATGCAGAGATCTATCTAGATTGCAAAATTCAGGCTTACTCTGATAAATTTTCTAGGTCAAAACCATTTAAATAATTAAACTTATATAAGTGACAAAATACGATGAGTCTATATGCCAATTTTATATAAAACGTTTTCTTTTGAACATGGAACTAGAAATATTCATACACTACATATTTCCAGCTGGATTCGTCCAAGAATGTTAACATTCTTGGACCAATCCAGCTGGGCCTGGGGTCTGGGATGTGTAGTGTATGAATATTTTTTTAGTAGAAGTGGTGGGGTCAAAATGGATCAAAGTGCATTATATCTTAATTCAGCAATATATTCATATAAGACAAATGTTTGAGGGGTTGCTGTGTGCTGTGCTCGTCCAAGCTCTTCCTTCATTATCACACACACACAAACATGCATTGGTCTCTCATTATATCAAGTGAGTATCTTGAAACACATGTATTCTTCTTGAAACACACGTATTCTTTTCATTAGATATATCATACGGTTCCTTCTGTCCGAGCTTATAAATTTTATATAATTTATAATATAAAATAATTCCCCGATCGGAAAGAAATAAATTGTAATATATTGCCGATGTTAATATTTGTTTGTTTTCATTATATATAATTTTGAATGCACTAATCGCGGGTCTACATAACAGAATCAAGATCAAAACCTTTTTCAAATGAATTTTTGTTTTTACATACTGAAAGTTAAGATTATGTATAATGCGTATATTTTTATTGGTTGTAATCAAAATAAAAAAAAATTAATCAGTACATGCACGAATCTAGAGTGGGGTCGGGGGTTTGCAGAGTTATCAAAATACATGTATATACTAAGGAAATTTTAAAAAATGACTTTGGAACCCCCCCCCCCCTTAGAAATGTGGACCCCACCATCACAACCACGAAATAGGTGTTTTTCACGTTTGGGAAATGGAATTTACGTTTGTTTTGTTTTTTTGTTCTTTTGTTGTTTTTTTTTTTGGCGGGGGGGGGGGGGGGGGGGGGGCTCGTCAAGAAATTTTTGGGTTGGAATTTTTTTTCACTTGGATGGACCCTGGAAAAAATTCCTGGATCCGCGTCTGCAGTAAACATGCGATGTAATTGAAATTTGTTGGTTGTAAAAAGTATAAGTGTCATATAGATTGCGATGCTTTATTTTAAATGAAATTCTTGTTTGTAATGTGCATGTACATAATATTTTTTACTGACATCTTCCTCTTTTTCGTGTATATAACTTAAACATTTAATTATCAACGTAGACTTGTGCCGATGTGCGTAAGATTATACTCATAGTAATTTGCCCTTTTATGATGTTGATCCATAGATCTATCGACTTCACAGCCGTGGAAAAGCATGTGCTTTTTTGTCAAGTTGATATATCTATGATCAACCTCATCAGCTCATAAAAGGGCTATATTTGTCATATTGTTATTTTCTTTAGAACAAATGAGATACAAAGAAGGTCATTATAATTAATAGAATTTGTAAGTTTTTTGAAAAACTTTTCAATATTATCAGGGACGTATATAGGTCCCTCATATTATAAACACATCTTTGGATTTTCCCTAAGGATTTTTCGTAAAATATTTCGGCTGATTTTGCACATGATCGATACCAATTTTAAGGGGAAAATATTTTGCAAAATAGAACTTTACACGGAAAAATGCAAAACAAACAATTACACGTCAACAGTTACCTAAATAACATTGATAAAAAATAATGATAAATTTTGTCTATCCATTCTTATATCAACAATGATCAAGTGGACTTTATAATAAAAAGTGACCTCACAATGGAATGCTTTAACGATTAAAAACAATATCATATTATAAGGATATATGCATGTAATAATAGTATTTGACATAAAAATATGAACGACATTATCTGTCAATTTTATAATTATCAAAAATACAATACGCGCTCATTGCTCCCCTCCCCCTTTTTTATTTCTGCAAGTTGAGACGAAATCCCGTAAGCTTTGGGTTTTTGCGGGATAATGACGTCACGAATTTGAAATTCATCATGGCGGACGTATGGAGTAGGTTTGGTAGGTCTGCTAAAAAATTATTGTTTATTTCAATATTTATATGTGCAATTAAACAGTTGTGTATATAATTATTCATTTTTAAATCTAAAGAAATGCATTTTACACATGATCGGCTGCGATTTCAGCAAATTCAACTGAAATAAATGCACCAAGTTGACGGACAAAAATGTCATTTATGGAAACCTTCGGTCATTGTTATAAAAAGATGTGGAAAGTCTGAATCTTTTGTCTAAAGTGCCTGGTCATATAACTGTTTATTTATTCTGGTATCATTTTTGACGTTCATGTGTAAATCAACCTTTGTGATGTTCGTATATTGATTTGCTATTTATTGATAAACAAATACGATCAGGCCATCGTTGTCGGCAACTTGAATCAGTGATTCAGCATGTCTTTAGATCAAATTAGTCTCATACCAGTGTCTAGATTTATTTTTAAACGAAGAATTACTTTTGAGCATATTTTTGGGGGTTCGAAATTGACATCAGTGTTTTTAATTGACCCATTTTCATGTTAATTGAAAGTAGGTCACATCAACATTGTGACCATTGTACTACGAATATTCTTGTTAATATATGGAAAATTTAACAAGTTTGGCATGTATTTGTAATTTATTAAAATAATCAAGCAGTATCTTTGTATCATATTCATAATACATGTTATTGATAATGATAGATAAACAATTTAGTCATGTATATTAAGTTAGAAACAGATGTGGAATGTATTTCCTGTTAAGATAAAAATAAAATTGTAATTTGATTTTTTTTGTTTTGTTTTAGATAATGTCACTACATTTTGAACTTGACCACATACTAAGGAAGTCAACAACTCTTGTGTTTCATAATTTCTTTGAAAATACCAGTGCTCTCTAGGGCATTCTTGCCCATTCTTTTATCTATCAACTTTTCAAATACTTTTCCAAAATGACAACTTTGGATACCTTCCTTCCCAATGTCACCACCCAGGACACTCGTAAGAGGATTCAGGCCCATCAGGACCTCATCCCCTACCTGAGTGATCCCCACAGCTCCCTCAACTGTCCTGAGATGGATGAGTTTATCGGTGGGCTGGTTGGATGGGTCAACTGCTCTAACTACAAGGTAATAAAGAGGAGATTCAAATAGAACTTAACATGTATATGCTCATGTCTAAGTGTCTGTGCATACTTGTAGTACTTGAAACTACATGTTTTATAAAGGTCAATAGTAAAATATCTTTTCAACCATTTTCACCATGATGTAGTAATCACATTTAAGATCTTTATTTCTAAGTATAAATGTTTCATGTGTTTGATATCCTTATTGTGTCCAGTCACTGGTGTTTATCGTCAACGCCTGTTAGCATTCTTACCAGGCATACTAAATGCACTTGTATGAAGCTCCTTCAACCTTTTTAAATGTAATAGATGTTAAACACAGTAAAAGAAACTTGTAGCTTTGCTACACTGAAGAAAAAGTAGATGGTTTGAAAGAAACAGGTTTAATAAACAGTAATGCTATAAAAGATTAGCTGTATGTGCTAGATTTTACACAAGCTTTAAATGTCCACTGTCTGTGTTACAGTAAGTGCTAAGTTTTACTATTTCTATTAATGTAATGTAGTATACACCTTGTACACTACACAGATTTATGAACCAGTACATGTACATTTAATCATGACCTTTTGACCTGTAGACTGATTATAGGGGGAAAAAAATCTTATTCAGAGAAATAATGGAAAGGAATGAGTGGATTACCCATCCCCTTTGGATTTGTGTACATGCAAATGATGTGAATGTGTATTTCATGCACCAAAATATGCTTTATTAGTAGCTCCTGTGTTAACTGTTTGCATACTTTGGAGGATTATGTATGTAACGTGACATTGAATGATCTAAAAGATTTAAGCACATTGACCATTTAAACAGGCTTTTGTTTCTTCTGTTTATTATTTTGTACTGTACTGTGTACACTGAAAAGTTTACTTTAAACCCAGACCTGTTAGTAAATTACCGAGTATTCAGACTCATTCAATGCCTGTAGGTATAGACAGATGTATGTCGGTGTTTGTCTGTGACGAGATACAACGTTACATGCTTATTTCTCTGTTTTTAGTTTCATAATCATGCTTTCGGTTTTTACACACAGATAATACAGAAACACAAATATTTTATTTCCTTCATGAACCATATTTTTGTTGTTAAACCTATTGTATCCATGTTTTCCAATAATTGTATTTTAGTCTTAGGATTTAAAAGAAAAAATAATAATGATTATGGTATTATGTACCATAATTGCAAAATTTTATTTCATATTATATTATTTCATATAAAGTCATAAAATCATTCCAGTCAGTTTAGTGTGGATTCCAACTCGGTGATCACTGCTATGTGCATTTTAAATCTGCTTCTGAAATTTGTATTTATAATACTTATGTATCACTACTAGGAGACTGAACTTATCACCTCTCTCATATTGTGTTTCAGATTTCTTTAAATGGCCTAGAAGTATTATGCCTGATGGTTGATCGTATGGGAGAAGATTTTAAGATCCATGTGTCCTCTGGTTAGTAATAATAGACATTGTGTAGACATATTGCATATACATACGTGTTCTGTGTACATATGATATCTATGTTTTAATTTTCCTTTACACTGTGCACCATATAAAGAGAATAAAGAAATTGACTTTGTCTCATAGAATGTCCCAGAAGCAAAATGTATGTTCATCAGTTAATGTATCCATGAGAATGTGTACTTGTATTTTAATTTCTTTGTCGAGTTCATAGACCTCATACATGCACCAGGTAATTCATAGACATCATACATGCACCAAGTAATTATGAGGAATAGTGATAGCAATGTTATGAAAGTTTCATGTGTTTAATGCAATGGGGCACCATGAAAACAATTAAGCAAAGAATGCAGATTGTTTCAGAGGAGAAATGTGCCTTTCAACTAGAACATTGATTTTCTGCTGAAGCTACCCAGGAATGATTTACAATTTTTATGCTCATTGATCTGCAGTATTCACTGCAGCCAGATAATGAGAAAACTGCTTGATCTGTGTTTGTTTATACTTCTATACCTGCTGTTTGATAATCATGAATTATTGTTTTTGTCCTTCAATTTTACCTGCCATTTTGATTATCCTGAATTATTGTTTTTTGCCATTTCAGTTATACCTGCTGTGGTAGATCGATTAGGTGACTCCAAAGACCAGGTATGGAAAAAAAAAAATACAAACAGGATGAAAAAAAGCGAGCAAACATATTACATAATGCATTTATATCTTATGTAATGCAATGCACCACATGCGTCTAGGCAGTTTATGTCCTTGTAGACTCTTAAGTGATTCAATGGCAAGTGGATAGTTAAAAAAAATTTGAGGAGCATATTAAGACAAACAATGAAAGTAATGGTGGGGCCAGGAGAAGTAAATCATATAAATTCTCTTTATGCTCCATTTCGTTTTTGTAGATTTTTTTTTTTTTACATCAGTGTATCTTGAAGGGGGTGGGGGTATGCATATTTTATGGGGAAGGAAAAGGGTTATATAATTTATAATAATTGAGATGTTCATTCTCCTTACTAATTTCCCACTGACCCAGTGACCTTTGGACATGTTGGAAGTACTAACTAAAGTTTGTTTCTTAAAATCCAAAAACTTCACAGAAAGAAAAAAAAATTAGCAGTGTATTGTACAAAACTCTCTCCCTCTTTTTCTGTTGTTTTATTTATAGAAAATAAAGGAAGAAGGTTTATTTAGATAATATGCTCCCAAGTTAGAAATTAATAGCATATAGGTCTCAGATGGTCTTGGTACAAATAAAAGTCATCATGGTCATCATTGTATAAACTTTATTAAAACTTGCTTATGAAAATCCAGGTCTTGTAATGCATTACTGAACAACAACTATTGACTCTTTCACTTTCCTTGACAGGTGCGAGAAATGGCTCAGCAGTTGTTATTAAAATTGATGATGCCAGCAACTTCTCCTCAAGTAAGTGCATTCATGCATGTCAGGGTGAAATGCTGTGCATCCATGTGTACTTATGTGAAGTTGAATTTAACCATGCGTGTTGATCTATTGTATATAATTCTTTACATGTCCAGACTGCTGACCAGTATGAATTATTTATCTTTATGTGTCATGAAAAAAATTAATTATTGCGTTAATATAATTTACTGAAAACAAGCAGGCTTTTGGAAGACTTCCATCGACAAGATTTTCTAGAAACACAACTTTATAATGTTTAAGTAACCCTGATACAGTATTAATAATTGTTACATATATGCAGAACGTATTAGCAAAGTCAAATAACATTTTTCCTATATATATATCTCTATCCAGATCATAAAGAGCATTGTTCAAAGGGGGCTTTATTTGGCCCAGTAACTTTCTGAAAAAAATTGTTTATTTCATTTTTCTGGACATCTAAAATACCAATTTGACCCAGCTGTTCTGACTAAATGTCTAATAAATAATAACTTTTCTTGCTAGTCCGTGAATAGTGATGTCATGTATTGCATCATTGTGTCAATTTCAAGGAAATTTCCTCTAATTAAATCGGTACCTTCAATTTTTTTTTTAGCACAACCTCTTGTCTAAATTTTAAAATAAATTGGTAGAACTATTATTGATATTAATTACATTTGCTTATTCTTTGGATTAGGGATTTTCCTCATCCTTACTTTCTTACCTGAATGCACTCAACATATATTCTTATATTTTCTAAGAGATTCAAGAATATCATGATTTTTCAAGCCCTGGTTTCGAATGTGTTAACACTTAGAAATAACTTTTTATTTGTAAGAAAAGCACAAATATTTTGCTTACATACAATTGTAACTTGAATGATCTAATGAATATATCTGATTAGGGTATCAGTCATGTAGAAACTCTATAAAAGACACCTGTGTAATTACAATAAGTGTTAATTTTATTTTGTTTTATTTTTCTTTGCAGTTTGTTTTTGACAGAATCCAGAATGCTTTCTCACACAAACTCTGGCGAGTCAGAGATGAGGTGTTAATATGTCTCCAGAACACAATAAACACGTAAGTACATATGATCCTTTGTAATTTCTTAATGCCCTTGGCAAGTGTTATTTGAATTCTAATAAAGAACAGTCAACATGTTTATTTACTTCTTTCAAGGGTAATTTTATTGTATGACTTTGTTTTTGTGTCAAACAATATGGCTGTAATTTGCAATCCTTGTGTTTATGTGTTATTATATACAAAAATACTCTCAAGGTAAAATAACTAAAATGTCTGTGTATGTATAAAAGTAATGTCCTCTAAATTAGTTGATTGTTTGAGTACATGTACACTTGATTGTAAGAAGACATGGAAATTTACTCTTATAGATATGGTGCCAGAAGTCTCCAGCTGTCTAAAATAGTTCCTTCAATCTGCAAACTCTTAGATGATCAAAATAGCCAGGTACATGTAGTTTGGTGGTGTTAATCTCCAAAAGAAAATATGGATATAAAAAATGTTATTGTTATCAATGTTAAACACCTCTGTTTATGTTAATTTTATGGAATGACTTATTGTCATGAAGCATTAAAACCTATCTGCAATAATTGTAGGTTAAGGTTTATATGTGACCACTCTTTATTACTAGAATAATAAACATAGCCAGTTCTAAGTGCTCAGGACATTCACAGAACACACTGTATTACCAGTTTATTTCAGATGTAGATTGCTCTGACTTTCATATCAATTCAAATAATTTTACATGTTTTTAAAGATTTCTACATAATATATGTACACCTACATTGCAGGAGAAACTGTCTCTTAAAACAAAGTTTGTCTGTCTTTTAAATACTAATTCCCTGAAGTTTTAACTTAAATGTTAACATCAAAGCAGGGAGTGCAATGTCCTGTTCATGATTATAAATAATTCACAGAATTGGGGTTTTCTAGGTCATGTTTATGTTAATTAAGTATTAGCTTCTTATTTTATTGTTCTGATAAAATTTATTGAATTAGAACCTATATCTGTCTGATTATAATTGATGCAGGACCAATGAATTTTCCATGCTCTATAAATTTTACTTCAATGAAAAAGGTCAGCTATATATTTTGACATCATCTTTGAAGTTTTGACCTGCTAATTTGGTGTAAAATATAAAGTTCTGTTTTATGATTCATTTTCGTGATGTAAATTTCTCTGAAATATATGCTGTATATTACCACAGGTGAGAGAGACGGCTATAATGACCTTAGCAGAGGTGTACAGACATGTAGGTGAAAGAGTTCGACAGGATCTGGCTAAAAAAGGAATACCCCCACAGAGGTGAAGAGAGAACTTAACAGCAAATTAAGCTAATTAACTACTGGATAAATTAATTAAAAATATGCAGTAACACAGTAGAAGAAACAAAATGAATGTTAATTATAGCATTTTCAAAAGTGGAAATCATTTTAAAGCAAGCTTTTTCTCTTTTTTTTCAAGAAATTTAGCTTTATGAAATTTAAGTTCTCAGAGCCAACATTTATGATTTGCAACAATCTTTAATTTGGGGATATGATACAATTTAAACTTAATTTTATTTGGATAAATCTTCATGATATGAAATAAATAATACAAACAGGAATCAGAAATAAATTTATTGTAACAACTTGTATAAATCTGTTGCCTGAACAAATGACATGATTTCAGTAACATGTATGTGGGAATGAAATTACTTTGAAGGGTTTGATTTCTAGTACAACCACTCTTTGGAAAGAATATGATTTGCCTAAACATTGAGCTAGATAATAATTATGCTTTGTGGGGAAATACAGTGTCAGTGAGTTTAAAATCAACTTGTTGTGTTTGAGAAATAGCCTAACACCATTTATACTAAGTTCATGGTCACAAAACTAACACCATTTATACTAAGTTCATGGTCACAAAACTATAGAATTGGATATAGGATTTTCAGACATGATTGTTTTGTTGTTTTTTGTTTTTTTTTTGTAAATTATTTCTCTTCTTTTATCCTATTCTTTTTTACAGACTAAATCAAATCTATGCAAAGTTTGATGAGGTGAAAAATTCCGGTGGTATGCTAGCTACAGCAGATTTTGGTGAGTACAATAATGGACCTTAGAATATGACTTATTGGTAAAATGGGTAAGGTGGTATTCAAATGGTTGATTGTTTGTATCCCAGTTTCATCATCACTTTCTGTAGTTTGTTGTGATTAGACGTGGATGTTCAGCTGATTTTTCGAAGTTCACTTAGCTAAATGGGTACCTTTAAACAAGGAATTATTTTAAAAGTGAATTGGAGTCTCAGGAGTTGTAAGGCTTTTCACAGATATTCATTTGATTAAATATTGGCTCTTTTACCCTATCTATGGCAGAGAGGGATGTAATTTGAAGGCAAAATTCAAATGCAGGACAAAATATTGAAAGAGGTGTCTTTTTGCCCAAGGAGTACTTTATTCAACACCAGAATTGTAAATTAAGCACAAATAATATAGATGTAAACTTAACATTGTGCATTTAGTGTACACTGTATGAAAAGAAGATATACAGAATGAAATTTTTAGATCATTTCAGTAACTAAACATTCAAAAATTATTTACAAAGATTTTACAAGTCATTAATGCTGTATTAGGTATAACTTTCTATATTGGAAGATTTCTAAGACAGATTTGCAATTACTTTGCATATAACAGAAAATGTGGACAACGCATAATGTACATAATGTAGATCAATTAAAGATAATGTACGATACATTAGATGTGTTAAGCACAGGTATAAAGATTGCACAGGTGTTTGTATGATTTGAGTAGGCCAAAAGGACAAGGACGCTAGCATAAACAAGATTTTTCCACGATTGAAATAAATTACAGGTATACTTAAGCTTTATCTTTTATCTGTGTTAGCTGATTAGTACTTATTATCTGTCTGACACAATGTTTTTCATGTGACAAAACAGAAAAAAAAAGACTTCCATTTCTATGTGGCACAAAGAGCTATTTTATCTCTAATAACTACCCATTGCTGTTTTAAAAAAATGCTTTCATTGGTAGCTAATTTCTATGCATGTATTAAAAGTTTTCATTGATAAACAGGATGAAAACATTTAATTTTTGTATGTGTAGAAGCTTAGATAATGTCTGTGGTTTGGTTCATTACCCGTATAGGTTAAGTACTAGATCTAACCTTGCCTAATGCCATTTAAGTGGAGCTGTGTTTTGTATTGAGTACAGTATAGCCATCTGTCACACCTGCTAGGGATTTTGTGTGCAGTCCTAACAACTGACTCATTCATTGCAAGGTTTTGTCAATAGAAGAAAATCATTAATGCAACCTCAGTCTAATGTGTTCAGAAATTCACTCCATTAATCAAATATTCAGAAAATTATCCCAATTTTGATTCCCAGGTGTAAAGTGCAGTTGGTCAAAAAGGGTTATTCCCCTTTCCACATTGTACAACAAGGTATTGCTTGAAGGCAGTTTCTCTAAATAATCAGAATTCAGTAATCCTCTCCAGTAAACACAAATGTTGGTATTTATCTGTACAGATAACAATAGGGTTACAGTAAGAGTAATGTAGATATGTTTTTGTAGGTTACAAAAGAGATTTCTCTGCCTTGGTACTGTATCCTAGATTACAGCTGTTATCTTTTTACATGTTTTTGGTTGAAATGTAAATCCTATGTAAATTCAGGGAACAGTTGACAGGGTTTAATGATTATATGATCTAAACGTCTAGAACTCTGCCCAAGGGTGACCCATATTGTCCCTCCAAGTGACCTACATTCCATTAATGGAGGATATGTAAAATACATTTTCATGTGTTCTTTTGTGTGTGAAGTAAATGGATTTCCAGTATTTTGAAGGAAGGTTAAAAAAAACAATAAAAATAACAGATGTGCAAATAAATGTACATTTATGGAGACACTTGGTCTGTATTTTGATTGATTTTTTTTCATTTGGTGATTAAACTTGTTAAATCTTTTAAAGAGCTGACAAAAAATTTAAAGCAAAATCATTCTCTTATAGAAAAGGTGTTGAAGATGATAGAAAATTAATGGGGTGTCCTGATATGTGTTATAGTAAACAGCAAATTATATTGGCTTTTTTCTTTTTTTGGATAAAAAAATATGTTTAAACCAGTTTAATGTAGAGCTAAGACAAACATCAGGAAAAGTAAGTTATCTCCCTGGTAATAACCAAGCCATGTTTTTTTTCCTCTGAGTTGCTGTTTGGGAGAGATGAATTTTGTATTGTGCACTGAATATTACTTAATTGGCTTCACAACACAAGAGTCTGCCAAGTCATAGATTGAAATCTTAAAACTTTATCCTCATGCATAAACAGTCAGTCTACTTGGGGCAGATAAACTTTCACTTTGATAATAATGAGATTCATTGTAACTTAACACAAAGAGATAGAGAAATTGTGTGCCTTGTTGGTATAATGATGACCTTGGTGGAAAACTTCAAAGGAAAAGACCTGCAAATTTATGTACGGATCCCCAAAATAGAGATTACATTGTGTCAACCAATAAATGGACATCTTAGAGACCACAATAGACCCAGGTTCAAATCCCTACCAGGCTGTAATTAACAATCTCCTTAAGTGCTAATTAATGACCAGTGGTTTTATACTGGAAGTTTACATGTGGAAACTGACAGTTGAATAAGTGTCCCTTGGGGGTCTTAGTATGTAAAATGTAGAATTTAAATTCAAGTGTTGAAATCAGACAAGCGTTAAATTGTCCATAGCAGAAATTGGGCACAAATTGTACCAATTGTATATATATTTTTGGTACACCTGTATACCTAAGTTAAGATTTGAGGCAGATAATGCACACCTGCATTGTTGACCTTCTAGGTGTAAATAATCATACAAATAATTGTTTAGATTGTGAAATTAAATGATAATAAAGATCAAAATCTCTTGCTTAATTGTGAAGGATAAAGACCAACAAAAAGATGTAATTGACAGTTTTTAAAGGGTGGAATTTGAATGTAGATTGGCTCATTTATGAAGGTCTTTGAGGGCAGTGAATAATGACATATTGTGTGGGGTTTTAGGGTATTAGGTGGTGTACTGACTTGTCATACATTAAGCCATTGGGGCCAGGTCAGTTTGTTTTTCCATGTTGAGGGACAGAAGTAAAACCTCCATAATTGTGTTACTAGTACCAAAAGTATTTAAAAAAAAAAAGAAGAAACAAACTTAGGCAGCAATTTTTGAAGTTCAAACATATAAATTACAAGAGAGTTATGACTGACTCGAGGTTTTTACTGAAGTTATACATGTATTATTTGAAAATACTATGAATCTTAAGATAAGCATTGTTCTCTAAACAAAAATATGTTTTAAATCAGGAATCACATTTATATTTTGCATTTTCTCATTTTTGAGAGATGAAATTGTATCTTCTTTTTTTTCTCATGTTCAAAACAACCTCACTTTTTGTCTGGCTACCATAGTACATAAATGCGAAAAAGGGATACACAGAATAAGTCTCAAATCAGAATTCCACTGTGTAAACATATGTATCTTTTCCTGAGCTATAAATTGTTGTACTACTTGTAAAAATCTAATGATAATGGGGCTGTAAGTTGCCAACTTCAGAACAAGAATTTGCTGATCAGGAAAACTGACCCACTAATCAAGAGGGATATTGCCAGCCCTCTGATCTGAGGTCTGTCACATAACGGTTGATTTATGGTGTATGTCTCGTGAAAATCAAATGATATATGCCAGGTTTTTGGTAGGTTTTATTTCTTTGCCCTCAACAGCTGTGTTTCAGGGAAACTGATGTACAGAAATTTTGGAGACCATTGGATTGAATATAGAACTTTATATCATCCATTTGATCATTGCCAATAAATAACAATGCAGTTAGTCAGTGTGTATTGGCTTGTGAAATTTGCCTTGATAAAGCCTTGAAAGTTAAAAGTACAAATAGAACTCCAAATTTAAATGCATTGTTTGAGTTTATTTACTTTTCTTTCCATATAAAATGTTCATGGTATTTTCTTAATCTTTTATCGACTAAATATATGAGCCTAAAGTGAAATGCAAGGGTTATTTGACCACAATATCATTTATGTTAAAAGGTTGTAATGTGTGCTTTGTGGAAATGCCCTTTCATGTAGCTTTCATTTCTCATTGTCTAATTGCAACAGAACAAATAAGCACACACATACAGGTACTTTTTAATTTTATTAAAAAGCTCCACCCTTTAACAGGCTCAGACAAGGAATTTTAACCAGAAATTTCAATAAAGATTTTCCTTTGATGAAATCAGAATTCTTCCTTTTGTAATGAAAATTTGGGTTGCAGTCTTTGTCATCCTATTATTATTTTGGAAGCGACCCAAACTTGAAAGGGAATCTGTGTAAACATTTATGACACTTATAATTATTGAGATATAGAAAGCAGTATCTGTTGAGGTTGAGATCGGCTTTATGAGGTCATTTGATTGCTTGTCAAAATGCCTCCAGGAATATAAATAAGAAATATGACTGCTTTTCCCTGATGATATTTGAACAGAAGTAGGAAATTGATTTGATTTAATTTGACAGATTTGGACTGGCTGTTCTTGTGTTTTCTAAAATTTCTATTTTTTACTTTAAAAATATTTCATCGATTGTACTATGCATCTTGTAACAAAATAATGAATTTACACACATGTACGTTAATTGAAAGTTTGAAAGAAAACTTAATTTATTGCTTGAATATCTGATTGAAGATCGTGGAGATACCTTGTGTCGTATGGCGATTCAATTTCTTACAACTGATTAAACTTTGATAAGGGATTTATTTTAAGACCAAATTTTGTCACTTCTAACATAGTGATAATAGAGGGATTACTATTATCAGCAGTGTTGTGGAGCCCATTAGGGGATTTTAATGACAAAATTTAGAAAACTGGTTCTTCTAGAAGATTTGCATGACACAAATAAGAATTTTTTTTTAAAGGCTGTTGTTACGAGTACAAAATAAAATCTATACAAGTGCAAGTAAAAAAGTTGACAGGTCATTGGAGTCACAGATGACCGAGTGCCAGAACTGACCAGTGAAGTATTAGTGTGGGCCGAATTGCAATTAAACCA